AATCTTGAGACCAAAGGAAGTCCGACTGTCATGTGGTAGGCAGGAGGACTTCGTGGATTGGTTCCCTGGAATGTGTACGCATACTTTGCAGGAGTTTATTAAAACAATTCTGGGATCAGGGACTAAAGCTTAGTGCAGTCTGGCTTTCAGTAGTACTTTGTCTGGTAAAAAAAATAAGAGTCAAGTTCCCTTCTCCTGCTCTTTTGTGCCCCCATGAGTTTTGCACTTCCTTACTGCTGAGTGACTTGACTTCAGAAGGAAGATGCAATGGAATGTTTTTCTACCCATAGCCTGAGACTTGGGATGTTATTTTAGGATGTGGTAGATGTGTTCAGATCCACCCAAGCAGGGGGCCTGAATCTGATTTCCCATTCTGGGGCAAATTCTGTAACAACTGGAATGATAGTCAAAATGTGGACAGCCATTATTATGTTGTCAGATCAAGATGGTCACGGTAAGCACCCTTAACTTCTAGGTTTCTCAACTCTAGGTTTCTTAGACTCTTCCAAAGTAAACTGTCACTTAAATCCAGCTTGCAGCAAAACAGGCGTTTTCTCCACAGCATGTACTTTTGGTTAAATGCCTTAAGAGATTTTTCCAGAACAAGCAGGCAGGTGTCTACCTAATTCTGGGAAAGGTTAGCCCAGTAGCCTGGAAAATAGCCTGAATAGGGAATTTAGTCAGGTTTTAATCGGCATCTCAATTTGGGCAACAGCTGATTTTGTCTTATTACTATTTCACATAATTAATCACGACATTATTTACCTTAATTAAAGTCTGTGTTTTGGGGAGTGACGAAAAGTTTTACTTCTTTTGCTTGCATAGGAACTACTTGTTTCACTAAGGAATTTTGAACTCAGTTTCAAATTTTTAGAAACTGTGTACAATTTCTTCAATGTATGTGGGAGTGCTCTCCCTTCCCCTCTCCAAACAACTGAAAAAGTGCTTTGATCTTTTTTAAAGGAGCAAGATAATTTTTTAGAATATGAACTCATGACAACATTAGTGGAATTTCAGAACTCTGAAATTTCAGTGTTATTTGCAGAATCTTTGAGAGCAATACAGCCGTTGCCCTGTTTCTGATAAGACCTTTTATGAATATGTTGGGGAGAATTCCAGCATCACCTGCTGTCTTCAGGCATCTTCAGTATTTTTAAGGTCACTTGCACAATTTCTTCCTTTTTTTAATTCTATTAATAAAATCTAATATAGGAGATTCTCAACTGTCTTAATCTCTTCCATTGTTTAATTTTCTTTTAATTATATGTAAGGGGAAAACTGCAACAGCAGTCTTTTACTAAAACTAAGTCCCTGTGGTGCTTGACATGCTCCAACTGTGCATGGAAAACAACTGATAAGTGTACTGGTTACTATAATTTTATCTCTTAGATAATTTGTTATTCTCATCCCTCCTTAGTTAACCTTTCCAAGAGGTTCTGTTCATAAACATCATCCTTCTTGTAGTCTTCTGAACCCAGACCTAGCATTCTAGAAGGATGTCAGCAGTGAGGTATAGTACAGAACAGTTACTTCTCATATTTTGTATAAGATATAACACATCCCAGAATTAGATTTGACTCTTCATCCCTGTTAAGTTTTTAGGCCTGAGTGTTTGCCAAGAATGTGACTCAGTGAGACAGACAAGATGTTTGTGCCGATGTTGACCTCAGAGCACAGGGGAGGTTTGAGTGCGTTGTGATGGAGAAGGGGGGAGACTTATACTTCTCTATGTTCTGCTGTTTCATTGGGTGTTCTCAGAATTTTGCACTGAGTAAGCACTTCTCATCTTTTAGGAACTGGATTGAAAAAGGCTGGCAGAAGTTTCACCCAGCAATGTTTGACTTGAAAAGAAGCTTATTTTATGGTTAGGGTGGTACCTGTTGTGGTTTAACCTCAGTCAGCAACTGAACTTGTGCGTTGAGATAAAAACAGTTTAATAATTGAAATAAAATACTAATAATAATAGCAAAAGTAATAATAGAAGAATATACAAAGCAAGTGATGCACAGTGCAATTGCTCACCACCCGCTGACTGATGTCCAGCCAGTCCCCGAGCAGCGGCCCCCCTGGCCAGCTTTCCCCCAGTTTATGTACTGAGCATGACATCACATGGTATGGAATGTCCCTTTGGCCAGTTTGGGTCAGCTGTCCTGGCTGTGCCCCCTCCCAGCTTCTCGTGCACCTCCAGCCCTGTCAGTCAGTAGAGCATGAGAAACTGAAAAGTCCTTGACTGGTGTAAGCACTACTTAGCAACAACTGAAACATCGGTGTGTTATCAACATTATTCTGTTCCTAAATCCAAAACGCAGCACTGTACCAGCTACTAGGAAGAAAACTAACTTTATCCCAGCCGAAACCAAGGCAATACCTTTTCTTGGAAAACGAGTATTTGACAGTAAGCAAAATAATAATGTAAGATGAATCATAGGAAATAATGTCTTTCTCATATAGGAAACCTTTCTTTTGCTTGGGTATTCTAGCTGTCTTACGCTGTGTCATGTTTTCTCTATTGTTGTTTATAAAATTGAGGGTCTCTTGCACACACCATGATCATAATGTATATGAAATTATAGTGTTGTGCATTAATCTCCAAATTAAAATGTTATCTTGCCTAATAGGGTGAGACACAAATTCTTCAATTCCTCATAACATCAGCCACGTTGACTATGTTGACTTTATCAAAATTGTAAAAAATCTTTAAAGATACGTGTTTAAATGTCAATGAGCTGCATAACTCTTCTGTATGTTACTATGAATGATTTCATGTAACTTTATATATGCTTCCTGTTTTTTAAGTTTTCCAACAGCTGCATTAGAAACTGAATGTTTCTAGATCCTTCTCAACTGAATTTAAAAGTACTAATGTTAGCTTGGGTAGAGTTTTTACTGGTCTACTCCTCCTGCAAAATAATCAAGGAAGCTGTTCTGTAGATATAACATTTCAAGAGTAAATGGATTTCATTCTGCTATCTAACCTTGGCAAACTTTGTCCCAAAGAGCTCCTTTGTCTACATAAATACCAGCTTTTGTTATGAGCCATACCTAATAGAGGAAAATATCAAAAACCAGGCAGATCTAGAAAGGGAAGCTTACCTTTGCACTGTCCCTAGGAAACAGTTTGGGTAAAAAAAAAAACCAAACAAACAAACAAACTTCACAGTATCCTGAAGCCTTGCCAAAACTATTCTCATTTTAAATTTATCTTCACCATTTCAAGAGTTTCTAGGAAGGTCACATAAATAGTATGTCATCATCTTCGTGATGTTAATCAAAACCTTGGTTTAGTGGTGGACTCGGCAGTGTTAGGTATACGGTTTGACTTGATGATCTTAAAGGTTTTTTCCAACCTGAATGATTCTATGATTCTAAACTTCTTTGCATGAAATACTACTTAAGGCACATCAACACAAAAATTTTTCCAGAGTAGCTTCTTTACTATTCCCCCCAAAAAATATTTAAATTCTACAACATTTTGGTTTTCCTATTTGTTGTTTTTGTTCTGTAACATTTTATGTGTGGTTTTGTTTGATTCATATAGGTTTGTTATGATAAATACAATACTTTGATTTTTCCTTTATGTTGTTGGTCTGTAACATTTAATATGATGAGGTTCTTTGTTTAATTTTCTGTAGGTTCACTATTATGAAGATGGCAATGTTCAGCTGGTGAGCCATAAAGACATACAAGATTCTCTAACAGTGTCTGTAAGTGAACTTTAAAGTGTGTATATTGAAGTGACTTTTTAATTTAAAAAGAGAAGCAAGCTTTAAAACTCAGAAGTTTGGAGGCTAGTTTGCTCTTCTGCATGAATGGGAATTAATGTTCTAATTTATAAATATTTTTTGTGTAATATTTACTATTTTTACCTAACATGTTGCTGTTTAAAAAAAAAGTTAAAAAAAATTAAAATTAATGTATGCTTGCATGTGTCTTATATGAGCTAAATTAACTTTGATTGTAAATATTTAATTAGCTTGCTGCCAGTCTTTCTGCACTTCTGTTGTATTTAAACTTTGTTCTGCAGAGTGACCTATAGAATTAATTTTTGAATATCAAGGAGGTTTGAGTTATAATAACGCACTGAAGTAGTACAGTCTCCAGGAGATTGCCTCCTTTGCTCATTGGGAGAAGACCAGTATGCTAAAAATAGTAAACAAATGCTACCAGTTGAGAAGCAGTAGTGAGAATTCTCCCTTCATTTCCTCCCTCTCTGTAACTAGTGCTGTCAGCCTCTTGCTTTTCTGTACAAAAAGCCCTTTCAGAGATGCTTCAGCTTGAGAAGCATAATACACTTTATATTTAAAGCATAATTTTATTCAACGTCTTTCCAAATGGATCATTATCGTAATGAAGAGCAGACAGTAGAAATAAAAATTGTTTGGAAATAGTACCAGATGTATCCTTTAAGAGTTGGTAATGTTGTAACATGAACAACTACTACTTTTGAAATAATTCTCTTGCCTACTGGAGATTGTGTTTATAAACAGTAAGATTGTCTGTTGGCGTGTTCTTCAATAAAACTTAAGCCAGTGCGGTTAAACTGGCAAAGGGAAATTGTAAAAGTGAACAGTAGAACTATTTTAATGATAATGACTAGTCGTGACCAATTTGGCTCAAAAGCTCAATTCATCAATAAAGAACATTGTTAATATAAAGCAAGGCTTGTTGGCTCTTCGGTTGTAATAGCACCATAAAGAATGGGGGAGTGTGGTGCCAACTGATAACGCTTCTGAAGCTGTAGATATAAAATTACTTTTGCCCCCCTAAGTGAGGGGGGGATCTGCTTAGTCTTTCATTCAAATAAGAGTTGCTTCAGGGAAGATTATGTGGAAGAAGTTCTTCTTTCGATAGCTTTTGCTTCACTTTCTATTGGGAAGAAACTTAATCCTGTTCTGCAATTTAGTAAAGCAGCAGAAGACCGATGAGTAGAAAACCATCTTTTACGTAACTTTCCTACCTCCTGCTAGAACAAAAGCAAGTATGTTTCTGGTTACCAATTTTTTAGCCTTGGCTTTGAGCTTCATAGAGGGCGGAGGCTGTACAGGTTCTTATTTGACACAGAAGGAATGGGAGGTAGATTAAAAGGAGCCCCAATGACTCCTCTTTTCTGTTGTTTGGCAGAGAAAAAATTTTGTACCATCAATGGGCACAACTGAAGTAAACAACTGGAGAGTTCTCTTGTTGCTAGAGCTATGAATAATTTTGCTGAAGGTTACGTTCTTATCCCTAATTTCTCTCTGAGCCAAATAAGACCTCGTACCCCTGAATTCTTCCTTTCATTAGCAGAGCCTTTGAAATCATTGCCTCAGTTCACTGAAAAGTCAAAACCCTTTCATTTCTTCTACTTGGTCTCTGCCTCCTCCTTCATCTCTTTCTGCAGTGTCCAGGAGCGCTTTCACAGCTGCTAGGTGGTTTCACTGAAACTCTGAACCAGTTGTAGTTGAAGCTGCCATAGCTTTCTCCCAGTCTTTGCCTCTGTAGGAACGAGGGATCACATGGGGCAAGAACGCTCCTATCTTTCAACAGCTTCTGCAAAAGCACCCTTAGGAATGTTTCCAACGCCAAGTTGGAAGTTTTGAAATTCATGAACCCTCGCTTCCTTCTTGAGACTTCTTTCAAGCACTTCAGCTAATTTGTCTCCAGATTGACTGACAGGTCATTTTTTATTTTTGAAACAAACACACACTTGCATACTTAAAGATGAGGCCCAAAGCCAAGAAACTGTTTATCAGTCATGATGAAATTTGGACTTTGTGGTGTGTTGCACCCTCATTTTTGCAAGACGTACTTGGGGATGTTTTTAGAAGATCCGGTATATAAAGTCTAGTGTTTGCCTCAGCTTAGTCTCCAGATTCAGAATGTTTAGAGGTGAACAAATTTGTTTTGGTTTTTTGGTTGTAGTCTGCATACTTCTGGGTTAGCTGGTGTTCTTTTAAGTTTTCCTGAATTTGTACTGGAAATTTAACATTGATAATATCCATACTTCGCATGTGTTTAGAGACTTGTATGTGTGCATTCTCATATTTCCAAATGCTGTTCTGTTCCATATGTCTTTTTATCATACCATCAAATTTTAATTTAAAATATTTTAATGAGCTTCATGGTAATCTTTGTGCTTGTTGCAGTTGGACTGTTTATATTTTTTAAGATTATAGTAATATAAATACAATAATAATGTAGCATATGCCTTTTGGATGAATGTTTTGTTCAGTTTTGGTTTAGCCTCTAAATGGTCATGTGTTCTCATGGAGTCTACCTGACATCTCTCATAACTACAGGAAAAAACATAATCCAACTGGTCGTAGAATCATGCTGTACATCAGACCTAATTCAAATGCTCTTTTTCTAGAATGAAGCCCAGACAGCGAAGGAATTTATAAAAATCGTAGAGGCTGCAGAAAATGAATATCAGGTATGTTGGAAACAAACGCTGTATCCTTACTCACATGTATAACATTACCATATTCTTAACCAAAGCTAGTATTCTGTAATTAGCAAGCTTTTGATATTAAGATAATGCAGTTCCATACAAATATAAATAGATTACATGCTGCTATTAACTGTATCCTTCCTTTCCGTACCTTCTGGTGATTGCACTTACCTACTTAATGTTATGTTAGTCATTTTTTTGAGAGCAGAAAAGTCCCTAGCGTGATCAAATATCGGCAATTCTAGTCTCGTTCAGTATTAGTGCATTCCTTAAGTGGAATTTTTGCACAGATTCTGTTCAGAGGCTACTCTGGTAGACAGCTTTGCTAAATATGAGGATTATCCATTTCAGTTAGTTATTTTAAAGTTAGAAAAGTATAACTGTTCCAGATGTACTCTATAGAAGTGGATTCATGTTCATTTAGGTCTTGAACATAAGGTAAATTTCAGACACCATGTTCTGTCAGTTTTAAAAAAATGCTCTTTAATAAAAATTTACTAAGTGTGTATCATATGCATTGTATTCAAGTTCATACAATGTTGTGGACTGACTACCATCCCCACAGGAAAACCAGTGGAAGACTTTGGTGTCTGGAATTAATGATGTATGAGCTAACTCTGATCAGCACTTTATTCATGCTGCTGATTAACCACACTGTGGTTTGCTGAAACACCTAGGCTACAGCCGGTTATTGCATCTGTCTCACTAATTTTCTTCCCATAGTTTCAGTCTGGATCTAACAGCTTTCCCTCGTAAAATATTTTAATTTAGCATACTTTTATTAAGCCTGTTTAGGAGGTAACAGACTACTCAATCGTTTAACTCTTTATATAACCTCCTAGCCTTGTTCTTCATGCATCTTTGTTTTGTATGACTTTGTGTTTAACAGACTGCTATCAGTGAGAATTATCAGACTATGTCGGACACTACTTTCAAGGCCTTACGTCGACAATTGCCAGTTACCCGCACCAAGATTGACTGGAACAAGATCCTTAGCTATAAGATTGGAAAAGAGATGCAGAATGCTTAAAGTGAACGTTGCATGACTGGATCATTTTAGTGTCCTTGTATACAAATAAAAATTATTACAAAAAGTATCTGGAACTGTCAAATCACCCAGTCAGCATGGGCTTTTGCCATTGAAAATCACTGTAAGTAGTTTGGTTAGAGCACAAAGCTTAGCTAATTGACTTTTTTCCTTTTTCTTTCTTTTCAGAGGGTTGCAACTTCAGTATAGCTGAGTATCTTCCTTTAGAGTTTCTGTTGTACCTTTATTTTTTTATAATGAAGAGACCATGCCTTTAGTTTTCAATTACACGTTAAGAACAGTTTGAAAAATATTTTTGCATACGATAACCCTTTCTCTTGCTTTCATGTGAAATGGACAACTTCCAAAATTTGCTGGATTCCTTGTCAAGATCAGTAATGTGCATTTCTAGGTCAAGGTCAACATGGAGTTAGCCATAGGTGCTGTTTTTGAAATCATCTATCCCTTCGTTGTATGTAAAATTGGGAAAAGCATTTTCTATATTGTTTAAACCTTTCAGAATACTTACTTAGCTAGCTCCGTGGTAACTAAATTTGTTTTTTAAAAGAAAAGGCCAAGGTCTAACGCTGTTTTAAGATTTTGAAATTAAATAAAAGTACTTATTTCAGAAATGCATTTAATGCTTTGTTCCTGACAATTACTTAAATGAGCTCAAACTCCATCTGCCCTTGAGGTTTTTTTATCATAAAGCCACAAATGTGTTATAACAAGGCATATTGTAATATATATAATCCTGTACTCATTATTATGTCTGTCAGTTTTTTCTTGGATTGAAATGTACTAAAATTCAATGTGACATTAAAATGCAAATTTTCTATTTATTTGAGTATCAGATTGCTTCCTGATATAGCCTATTTTTGGTGTTTCTATATATTTTTAAATACTGCTTAAAACAGCCACAAATTTGTGGCCTATTGGCTATGCTCAGTGTATCTGGAGATTGTTGTAATATCATGCACTGTTTCCATCTGCATTTAAGAAACATCTACATATGGAAGTCTGCTTAAAACAGGTATCTTCTAGCTTCATATTGGCTACAGAGGATGGAAGAAATTACAAGACCAAAAATAACACATTTGTCTGGAGAATACTTTCCCTGTCTGATATATCTCGTATTGAAAATGGACATCAGGTATCTAAAAACAGACTTCATTACAAATGCTGTATAACACTTCTGCGAAATGCATAGATTTCATTTTTAATTGGATGAAAACCTGTTTTAAAATATGCTACCTAATTATATGCTCATGATGGAAAACTGAACAGCTTTTTTTTTAGAAGGCAGGTATTTATGCACACTCCTAAACCAGTAAAGCTTACACAAAGGTTTTCTATCTTTGTTTACAGCATGATCCAATTAATTACCTTAAACTGTTAAGTTACAGCATAGCAAGAGAAAGAGTCTAGACTTGTACTGGGTATAGAAATGTACACACAAAGTAGTTTACTGTTTGAATTGTAATAGCAATACCCCTATGTTCTGTTCTTCAGTGCTGTCTTATAAAGGGGTATAGAATTAACTGAAGTTCTTGAAGTTGCTGCTACTTTACAGTACTAAACTCTGTAGTAGAAGAATGGGATTTGTTCTACCACAGTCTTCCTGGAGAGTTGCCCTCTTAATTGTCTTCGTAGGTCAGCTGTTGAACTGTGTTGTTCTTTAAAAGAAGGCTTATAAAAGCTGTATATGAGCTAATAACGGATGCTGAGTCACTGTCAAGTCAGTCTGTCAGTCTTAACTAAGATCTAAATACATACCTTGTTTGAAGAATTTCTTCAACATATTTAAGAACATGCTAAAAATAAAAGACAGTGAATGGACAGTTAGGAGAACTGTTAATGGGCAACAACAGTGCAAATAACTTTTCTAGCTGTTAGAATATTGCGTATGACCAGAATCAGCACTGGCAAAAAGTCAGAATGCTATTTTTCTTACCTGAAATAAAAAGCTAGTTTTAAATATATTCCTAATAAAGAGCTATTTTACTGTGAAGTACTCTATTACTGTGTTTCCCTCTCTGTTTATTCAGTCCTGTGATAGTCTTGATTCCTTATCTTCAAAGAATAGCATCCTACAGGTTCAATTCTACCAGTAGGGTGACGTAAGTAGATTTGTATTACTTATATCTCTTCCTGTTGTGTTAATTTTTAGTCTGTGAGATAATTTTACACCTTGAACATTAAATTTATTAAGTTATAGCTTCAATAAAGCAATTTATAAGTAAATCAACTATTTGTTACTTTTTCAAAATGGTATGCTGTATCATATTTAGGGGTAATGACTCCCCAGATGAAGTTGACCTGAGTATCAGCTGAGGCACACGGCACATCTGGAGTTCTTGATTTCTCTCAAAATTTTGGATGTCACTTGCACTTTTTTGCTTCTACCCCTTTTAAATTGGAGAACTTTAGAGCTTGCTTAGTAGACTTTAGGGTATTTTGTGTAGGTAAAGCACTTTCTATGGGAAATTTTGCTGTGGCAATTGTCTTAATGTGAATTACTATTTGTTGATATTCTATTTTTAAATATAAAGACAAGCTTTGTATTGTGGAATGTTGATGTACTAGACATTATGGCTTGTAATATGGACTTGTAAAATGCTTGCATTTATGACATGTAATACATCTTGTGCATCTTAGTGCCCCTTTATACAAAGGAGCTTTTAACTTACGCGAGTAAGCAATTGTTCTTTCTCAACATCTGCAACAGGAGTGACAATTCTGCTTTCAAGTTCTTCTGAGCAGCCCCTTTCTCGTACATCTGTCTTAATTCATACTGCAGGTAGAATGAAACTTTAAAATCATTGTACTTTTGGTTACATCACTACTGCTGCTTATGCTCTATACACTGAAAGCAATTCTGCCGGCCAGTTCAGTTGGGAACACTGCAACGCATTTCATTAGTAAACGGTCATTCAGCCCAGGGTTAAAAGTACTGTATGAGACTGAACATCCTAATAGATGTGTTCTCTTTAGGGGATGACTCCAGCTGCATCTACGGCAGTGATGTAGTTTGTGCAGTTTGGGAGTAAATCCCTCTCTCATCCCCGCTTGCCATATACTGGTTTGGCTGACAAAGCAGTTTTGGTGCTTTTGAGTTCACTTCCTTTGGGAGAAATCTGAACTAGGAACTGTGCGCTGGGTGTGCACCAAATGCCCTCTAGCTCCTAATGGTGATGCGAGCCCATAGCAGTGGTTTCCTTCAGGCAGCTTGAAACCACCTATGCGTTGAGGATGTCTGGAGGATCAGACTCAACCTGGCCTTCAAATTTCCAGACTGTAGGTATAGAGGTTGAACGTCAACTGTTTGATTCTATGGATCCACTCCTATCATACTGAATTACTTGCTGACACAGACATAGCTTCTGCTGCATTCGTTTACTGGAAAGACTGAAAGTGTTCTTCCTCTGATGCAACTGTAAACTAGGTTTAGATTAAACATAGTTTGTTCATAACCTTGAAGTGTCAATTTTTGTGTGACGGTGTCAACTCTTGAACTCTTTTTTTTTTTTTTGAAAGGGGAAAATCTGCATCAGACTTAAACAAAAAAAAGTCCATTTTTTTTCCCCACAGCTAAAGGGAGGGAACTGTGAATTTGTGCTTTATTTCTTCTGTGAAAATGAATGCTTAATACTCGGTAGGTTTTCTTACTAGCAGTATTTTCCTCTGCTACTGTGACTGGCTTACCTGTAACAGATGTTGCTCAGCGTAGTATTATCCATGGGCTCATCACAAGAGAGGGTAAGGACAGTAATTGTTGCCTTAAAGGATATATTCTGTAAACACGTTTAGACTTTTCTGTGCATCTTTTCCTTGCAAATCAATAAAGCTGGGCAGGGGCAAATCTGTTAGGCTTTTTTCTCTTAAGTCAAGAGGAGCACGTAGGGACTTTTGCCTGACTAGCTGTAGTTTGAAATAACTTCAGATCTGAAACAGCTTCCAGCTTACAGGGTTGTAAATGCACCTGCTAAAGTAATATTTGGTTGGTTGGTTTGGAGGGACACCACCACATGCTAATAGTGACTTGTAGTAAATACTCGTTTCAGTTTTGTATTTAAATGTGCCTAATATTTTTCAACATCAAGTCGATACTGAGTACAGCTATTGTAGGCATCAGTGGAAGAATTGAGAGTACTTCCTTTAATAAGTAGTTTTCCAGTGTACAACTCAGTTTGAGTTACCCTTCAAGATTGTTTCAGAAGTTACTTAGGGATGATAATGTAGAAGGCGGAGCTACGGCTTTGGCACAACACTGTGAATGCGAGGCAAGCAGTGTTATGAGGAGGGGTTCAGAAAAACATGCTCACGACTCCTTTCTTAGCAAGTAAAAATGTCCTCAAAGGGACTGTCAGTTATGGTGTTTAGCAGGCAACAGCTGGCTAAGGCAAAAGGTACCTCTCGTGGTACATCTGGAACCTAGGCTACTTTCCTCGGAGGTAGAGAAGAGAGTTTTGGTCCCATGAGGTAAAGAAGGGACTCAATCTCCCTGGAGCAAATGTTCTCCTAACTGGCTAAAAGAAAACCAGGCTATCTCCTCTTTTGCAAATAAAGTGTTTATGAACCTAACTGAAAAATCACAGCCACAAGCTCTCAAGTGCAGGAAAAATACTTATGTTTCATTCTCTTGGGCTGTAGTCGATTTAAAATGTTTTCCTTCTGCCTGTTTGAGCTGCCTCCCGGCCCAGCGTGCCGGCTTTCTCGGGTCCTGGATGGCGGTGTGTGTTGTCTCGGACTGTGCATCTGTTGCAGAAGCTGGGTACTAAAAGTTAGGTGCCCAAAGGCAGAAATGTTCACATTCTTGCTGTGCTGTCAAGGTGCCAGAAGGGCCAATCGTGCAGCAAGGGGCCCAAATACCAGTCCTGGGACTTGGGAGGCTGTCGTGCTGCCTTTTCCCAGGTAAGGCAGTACATCCAGTTATAACACAAGATGTGTTAGCAAGATTGTAAGAGGTACGAGACTGTGATCTATTATGATTTTCCCTAAGGAAGAAAGGTGCCATCTGTTTCCACTCAACCAAGCCTCCTGTTCAGCCTGGAGGGCGGGAGCCTGATGCTGCAGCTCTGAGGAAAGGTTCAGTTAAATTGAAGTCGCACCCCAGGAGCGCGGGTCTGACGGAAGCCGTCGGAGCACTCGCAACAGAAGTCTCGGGTACGCAGTGCCCTGTGAGCTACAGCCTCTGCTGCCCGCCTGTCTGGGTACAGGTGCTGTTCCTGAACCTGTGCCTTGCAAATGGCAACGGCACGCTTCAAGTATTGATCGAGCTGTTCCTCCTGTCCCAGCACAGTCTGTCTTAACCCAGCCAAAACTCCTGAGGATGCTGCTCCAAATGCCTCTGTGACCCTTCCGTGAATAACCTGCTATTTGTATAGTGACCTAGCACCTGTTTCTCTTGTCTGTTGGTCTAGCTGTGCAGTAATAACTTCCACATAATTTGGAAATTAGGGAAGGAGGCTTGGAAGAGGAGTAATCTAATTACAAAATAAATCAATATTCAAAAAATGAACAGATTTTTTTAATACATTTTCAACTTTGCTGTGACATTTGAGGTTAATACCTGCACAAGCAACTGGAATAGAAATCTGAGCTTTCAAGAGCCATTAGCAGTTTCAAACTAAATAGCAGGAAGAAAAATCTGCTGCATTGTTAAACCAGCTTTCAGATGCTGTAAAACTGGTAGGCTTTGCAAGTCTTTCACTTCATTGTAGAAACGGGAACATGAGGTTGCAAAAACATGATTGGCCAAAAAACAGTTGTGGTTAAAGACTCCAAAGTTCAGATACTCGATTGGAAGATTTCTGAACGATAGTGGTGGTTGAAATCTTGAAATCCTTGAATGGAAAGCGAAAGCTCGTCTTGTTTTTTATTCCACAGTGTGGCAGGATCAGTTGCATCTCGACCATACGTGGCAGGACAGAGACTTGTCTGCTCTGAAAGAAATTGCTAATGATAAAGATTATCCTTCCTTTCCAAGTTCTTGTAGGGCTTTGGTATTATTAGTATTAAGGTAGATATTAGGAAAAGTTAAATCTTCCTTGCTGGATCTTAACTTCTTTTTATCTTAGTTGTGGGCATACAGAACAGCTTGTTCCCTATTTTTTACAACAC